AGCTGTGCCCGTGCCTGCGTGGCCCACGGCAGGCCGGCTGGGATCCCCCTCCCCTCATGCCTGGCTGTGTAGCCACAGGTGTCCCCAGGAGCACCGTGGCAGTGGCCATGGAGACCGTGCCTGTGCCAACCATCGTGTATGCGGTGCTGGGGACGCTGCTGTGCCTGACCCTGGGTGTCCTGGCCGTGCTGCTGTGCCGCGCCCGTGCCCGGCAGCGAGGTGGGTCCCGGTGGATGGGTGCAGGGCAGAGCCGGTTCCGGGCCCCTGCCCTGCAGAAGAGCTGAGGAGGTGGCCGGGGTGAGCCCGGTGCCACCCACCGTGCCCAAGGCCCCAGGTAAATGCTGTGGGTTGTTGCAGGTGCTGGCAGAGCTGCAGATGCCATCTCCAACGCTGTCTACGAGGAGCTCAATTACAGCGCCATGCCGGAGTACCTGGAGGTGCCCAGTCGCCCAGGTGGGTGGCAGCCCTGTGCCCCAGCTCTGCCCGGAGTGAAGGCTCTGCCTGACAGCCCCATGGCAGCTCCGGGCCCTGGTGGCCGGTGGTGGCTCCTCGCCGTGGGCCGGAGTGGCCCCTCAGTTCCACAGCAGCCCCGCTCTGTAGTGTAAGGTTCTGTCCCCCGTGGTGCCATTTGATGCCACCCCCAAGTCCCTGCAGGTTCCCTGACGAAGGGATCGGTGCAGAAGCTGCCATACTACACCGGGGACAGCATGGAGGGCAGTGAGAGCGAGGCAGCCCCAGGTAGGGCCACAGGGCAGGAAGCCAGTGGGGAGAGCGGGGACAGAGGACACAGCCGGGCAGGGGAGATGAGGGAACAAGTCCTCCCCTTGTTAGTGTGCAGGGAAGCATGGCCTTTCCCTGCGGCCTCCGGCTCATGGCCAGTGGAAATGCTGGAGGGGATGGCACAGCCAGAGCCCTGCCAGGGCCGCTGGTCACTGCCACGGACCCCTGTGCCTGTCCCAGAGCCCCCTACCTTGCCCGAGTTGGGAACCCTGGATGGCTATGACGATGCCCTGGACGTGCCAGAGGAGCCCCCAGCTCCCAGCACTGGGGACATGTCTGAGGGAGTGGTACAGCAGAGGTGGATCCGTGTCCTCCCCGCAGGTAAGAGGGCTCCCAGCTGCTCTGTCCCCTCTGCAGAGCCAGTCCATGGCAGGGATTGGCTGCGGGGGCGGGCAGGGAGCCAGCTGTGGTCAGAGCCCAGGTGGGGTCTGTGATGGGGGACATGGAGCTACCTGTCCCCTCAGGCCCCTTTCTGTGCTGTGCCAAGGTGGGATGCACTCCCCTCCAATTCCCCCAGGAGCCTCCAGGGAGCCCTCAGAAGAGCCCCCAGGGCACATGGACTATGATGATGTGGGCAGCAGCGCATCGGGAACGTTGCCATGAGGATGGCCTGGCCATGCCACAGCCCTGGGGACACTGTGTGGCTTTGTGGTGGGCTCCTGTCCCCAGGGAGGGGTGGCCATGGCCACAGAGCTCTGTCCAGCCCTGCAGGGAAACAGCTCCTGTGTAGGAATTTTCTTTGATTTCATTGTGAATTTCCCTTTTTTCCTATTAAAACCCAGACTGGTCAGGGATTCACTCCCAAGGCTGGGACCTCACTCTGGTGCTGGCACCTCCATCCAGGGTACATCAGCCATTCTTTGGGGAATGACATGGGGCAGGAACTGAAACAGTGGACAGATCCACGGGTATGCTGGGATGAGGGGAAAGAGCACAGGGGAGTTCCTGGGATTGTCTGCAGGGTGTTTATTTGGTAGTGGCAAATGAACCCAAGTGTTCCCAGGAAGAGCGAGGGGAAAAGGAGAGGGCAGGACCCGGATCCCCCGCAGATGCAGCAGGATCTGCTCCCTGTGCCCCGCAGGTGGGGCAGGCTCAGATGCACTCGCAGCACTGAGAGCTGGGCTGGGAATGGCTCGGGTTGTTGGAAGGAGTTTTCCTAAAGGAGTGGAGGTCTCCTGAAGGAGGGGAGCACCTTGCTGCGGCCCGGCAGGAGCCCGCGGTGGCAGGGCAGCCTGGCCATGGCCCCTGCCTGTGGCACGTCATGCTCCAGGAGGTTCCCGATCTTCAGGGCGGGCTGCAGTGGCCGGAGGGCGTCGAGTTCCTGTAGCAGGGCCTGGCTGAAGCCATCTGTGCTGAGCCTGGGCATGAAGGAGGCAGGAAAAGAGGAGAAGGTGTTCGATGTGGCAGGGAGGGAGGTGCTGAAGCAGCCGGGATGCCGGTGCAGCCCCGCCTGCTCTGCTCCCCAGCTCGAGGATGTCGGGCGTGGAAGAGGCCGTGGCAGGGCCCTCACCCCAGGCTCCGCAGCGGGCAGGCGGGATGCCGGAGCTGCTGGCAGAGCTGCAGGACGCCGTGGGCTGCCAGCTCGTTGTCACTCAGGTCCAGGCACGTGAGACGGGGCCCCTGCAGCAGAAGCGCAGCCAGGGCAGGGCAGCAGGCACCCGACAGCCGGCAGCTCCCCAGCCTGCGGGAGCGAGGGAAACAGGGAAGGAGGGTTTTGGCCTCTGCTAAGTGAGCTGCTCCAGGTGGGAAGGAGAAAGCTCTGGATAGGAAGGAGGGAGCACTGGCCCATCCCACAGCCCCTTTACCGCAGTGTCTGTAGTGGGCAGGCACAGTGCCTGAGCCCCTCACACAGCAGCTCCACGCCGGCGTCGCGCAGCCCCTCGCTGAAGGACAAATCCAGCTCCTCCAGGGAAGTGTTGGTGCGTAGCACAGTGGCGAGGTCCTCGCAGCAGGCACTGGTGATGCGGGAATACCGCAGCCTGATGGGAACCCCGGGAAAGACCCTCATTGCCATCCCACTATGGTGGCTGTCCCCACCCTGGTGCCAGAACCTTGGATCTCCTTGCCCTGGAAGAGTGGGACAGAGACACGATGCCACCCCATGGGGACCCTTGGGGTCGCCACCCCAGCTCTCAGGTCCGAGATGCCCGATGGGTGCTGGGGGTGCTCACCGCAGGACGCGCAGGCGGCAGCCTGGAGTCTGCAGCCCCTCACAGAGGAGGCGCACGCCGCTGTCACCCAGCGAGCTGTCACCCAGCTCCAGACAGGCCAGGCCAGGATGCTCCGCCAGCAGCGCTGCCAGCTCTGCGCAGCAGCTCTCAGACAGCTGGCACCACTGCAGCCTGCGGGAGAGCACGGAGAACGGCAGCTCAGCACACCTCACCTGTCCTGGCTGCTCACCTGCCCACCGAGGGACAACACCCACCCTCAGATAAACAGGGCCTGGCCTCCCCCTGGCAGCTTGGCAGTGTCCCCGCTGCGGGGGCAGCACCAACCCACTCACCCGCTGCACTGTGCTTCAGGTGTCCCCCACCCACACCCCAATCCCAGCCCTGGTTTGGGCTCCATGTGCGTCTCTCACCGGAGCACCCGCAGGGCGCTGTCCCGGTGCCGCAGAGCCCGGCAGAGCAGATGGATGGGGCAGGGCAGCTCCTCCCGCCGCTGCAGGATGAGGGCACCGGGATGTCCTCTGGCTCCTGAGACTCCAGAGCTGCAGGGGAACAGAGCCACGGGGCACACACAGCCCTCAGCGGCGCTGGGAGCTCCCAGCTCCAACACTGGCACCGGCACACAACCCCCCTGCCCCAGTCAGAGCCTCCAGTGCATGGGAGGGCTCCTCCAGGGGGACCGTTGTGGTTTTGGAGGTGTGAAGGACCTGGGGCATTGCTGCTGGAGCCCCCTAGGGAGATGGGAGTCACAGGGTGCACTTAACGTTCCAGCACCAGGGATCTCCCTTTGCAAGGGAGAAGGGGGACAGGGAACCAGAGTGACTGCTGGGCACAGGTGGACCTGGCCAGGTCGAGCCAAGAAACTCCATCACCCCAGGGAAAGGCCAATATGGTGTTCGGAAGGGAGGAACTGAGTCATCCTTTGGGCCAGAGAAATCCTTTTGGGTCATTGAAGCAAGGAGGAGCAGGACTTACCAAGGCACTGATGCATCCAGCTTTGCTTCAGGATCTTGCCAGTGGAAGGAGCATCCCTGGAGGCTGACACAGCCCAGCCCAGCCCAGTGCTGGATGCAGAAGGAAAGAGCCATCAGGTCATACAGGGTCAGCTTGGTGTCCTTCAGGTCCAGGTCAGTGAAATGACCCAATGCACTTTGTGTGAAGCTCTTCTCATTCATCTCGAACAAGAAGTGGAAAGTGTCCATCTCTGAAACCTTCAGTGCTTGGCCAGGGTGGGAGAGGCCTCTGTGCCTCTCCTGAAGCCACTCCAGCAGCTCTTCCCTGGCTCGTGGTGAAATTCTGCACCCAATGGTTTTGTCCATGTACTCTATGGATTTCTGGCTGACCAGACCAAAGAGGAATCGCACTGTTACATTCAAATCCTTTCTGGACTTGTTGTAGCTTTCTAATAATTTATTTACATCCTTCTCAAGCTTCCCCAAGCTGCTGACCATTTCCCCATCATCTTCCAGAATGTAAAACATTGCTGCAAAAAACTCCTGGAGGTGCAGGTGGGTGAAAGCATAGACATTCCCGTGGTCTTCTCCTTCCCTTGGGATCCTTTCATTGAGGAAGAAGGGGAGAAGACCTGACTGGTCCAAGCCATAGTCCTTGATTTCCTTCTCCTCAAAGAGGACCTTGTGCTTCCAGATACCCTCGGCAGCCAAGGAGCAAAGCTGGAGTAGGAACTGCTGGAGGACCTGTGGGTTGTCCCTGTCCCTGTGCTTCAGTAATTGGGAGAGGTAGAACATCATCATCCCTGTGGTGGCTTTGGAGCACTCAAGGAGGTTTTTCTTCCCACAAAGCTCTTGTTCAAGGGCGGTGCAGATGGTCCAGTTCATGACAGGGATGACACACAAGCTATAGAGGATCTCGTTGCCTCTGGCAAACCTGAAGGCCATGTCTGCTTTGCTGGGGTTCTCAAAATACCTGTGGAAATACTCCTCCCTCCTGGCTGCTGAAAATCCCAGTATCTCCACGTAATGCTCACCCTTCAGGCACTGCCTCAGGCTTCCAAGAGCTGTTGGCCTCATGGTGATGAGCAAAGAGGCTTCAGGGATCACGGTCTTCTTCAACAAACTCATCAGGGTGAGCTCCAGCGGCTTCACCTCCCTGGGGTCAGAGCTCAGCTCAGCTTCGGGCTGAACCAAGGAAAGCCCCAGGGCCTCAAAGCCATCAAAAATTAACAGGATCTTCTTCTGGTCATCCAGGATCTTCCCAGCCGGCACTCTCAGGCCAGGACAGCACTGTGAAACCAGGTCTGCCACACTGGCTTCCATGGGAAGGACGATGGCTTTGCAGTCAATGCAGAAGACAAAGTCAAACTGCGTGTGGAGCGTCCCTTCTCTCCACTCCACCATCACCTTCCTGACCATTGTTGTCTTCCCCATCCCCGGGGCGCCCACCAGCACCACGACCTGCGGGGTTTTCCCGTCTCCACTGGGTTCAAACAGTGCGGTGGTGGTGGTGGCTGCTCCGCTGCCGGCGCTGGCACATCCCTGGCTGGTTCCATCCGTGGCTCTGTGCTTGCTCCCAGGCTCCCTGGTGATGGTCAGGGTGGTGAAGCGTCTGTGGAAGGATGGGCTCTCCCTGGGACAGGTGCCCAGCTCCCTGTCCTGCCAGGACTCCTGGACCATGTGCTCTCTGCTGTCCCGCCTGCGCTCTGTGCCGAGGAGAAGCAGGGTCAGACGACAGCTCAACAAATTCCCCACCACACCATCAGCCAGCAGCCACTTATTTCAATGCTCAGTGCTTCCTAAGTCTGGCTGGGGCACTAAGGACACAGTTTGTGAGGATTTGGGGACTCTGGTCGGTTGGGCATTCTTCTGGGTCCTGATCCTGATCTATCAACTCTTGTTTTATCATCCTCACCCACCTGGGAGCAAATGCAACTGCCTGGGGCTGCCTGCAGCCTCTGACTGGTGCTCCAGGAGACAAAGGCACTGTCCCTGGGCTCCAGAGCACAGATCTCAGCAGAGATACCCTTAATCCCCAACTCAGGAGGAAAGAATCTGCCCAGCTGGCTGCCAGAAAGTGCTGAGAGCTTTAAGGTCACTTCCAACCCAAACCATTCTGTGACTTTAAACAATGCATTTATCGAGGACTCACAAGCCCATGTAATCCCCTGCAGAGATGAGTTGCCTGGACACAGCTGGTGACCCTGTCCCTAGCACAGCTCCAACTAGGAGTGCCCAGAACTGAACTCAGAAGCCAGGCCCATGCCAGCCAGTGGGGAGGCTTGGATTTTCACTGCAAGGACTTCCTGCTGCCAGGCAAACCCACCTTGGCTGCTGCAGCAATTAATTCCACTGTGAGAAACGTCCTTCATCCTGCTTTCCCGGGAGTTCAAGGACAAACGGTGCTGCCCAAACGGCCACAAGGTTTTTTGCTGCTGTGTGGCCTTTTCCCCCTCTCCAGCTGTGGGTGGGTTGTAATTGGGGCTCTAGGAAAGGAGAGAGGCTCCTTTAGGATCTTTGAATGCTCAGGGATGAAAGGGGTGTGAGCCTGTGCTGTGACCTGCTCTCCTGGTTTGCCTGCTCCAGTTTATGAACAGGGCACCTGTGTCTGGATTAGGAGGGGGTAACCCTCTTGATTATTTCATTTTCTGTGATGATTTTCTTTCCATGATGGAAAAAAAAAA